TATCAAAGTGGGACGGAGGAGTATTATTTAATAGTACTACTAATTTGATAATTATAGTAATTTAATTCGTAGGAATAAATTTTTGGTTTGTCCTCGTTTTTCCACTGAAAGTCGTAGTACCTTTCCTCCTTCCTTCTCCGTTAACAAAATTCTCTTCTCTTTCTTTCTTTCTGAACCGTCACGACAAGGAGGAAAAAAAAAAAGGAAAGAAAAAAAAGAAAAACACACACACGCACACACATAAATAATAGGTAGTACTACAGAAGAGCCTTTACTTGTCCTTCTCCTCCTTTCTCTTTCCTCTCTATTCCTTACTGAAATGAGTGAACAACTCAGCTGAGACTCGTCCGATTATTAAATTATGTGAAGGTATTTGTATGTAGACAAAACGCAGATACATACTTGTATGTATACGTGTGTGGTATTTTTCAAGTTTGTGCTAATTTGTTGTACCTAAGATAAGTAAGTAGGAGTTTGTTCATGGAGCTTGATTTTGGATGATGTTTTTATGTGCATCTGAAGTGCGTGATTACGTGTTTTAACTTTTTTTTTTTTGTCCCTGTAGTATTTGATTAATAGCTTAGGGTTGGTTAAATTGAAGCTTGATAGCTGATTACAGTTCTGAAGATGATGAGTTTTGTTACTTGTTGATTTTGGTATGGATGTTGGGAGTTCTTTTAGTTCATATCGGTACTTTTCATTTATTTATTCTTGAAATTTTAGTGATGATGTATTTTTGGCCTATAGAATAGAGCTATCTAAGGTGAAATTTGTTAAAGATGGGATGATGATTTATTTAAATTTAGTTTTTGGGGAATTGAACTTTGAACTGTTTTTTGGCTATTACTTTTGTTTTGCTCTTGATTTTTTCACCAGAATGTTTTCTTGATGGTGGGATTGCTAAATTTTAAATTAATGTGAAATCTATGCAATAGCAGTGAGTTGTATCAGAGAATTACTGAATTACTATGAGTTTTAATCAGTGTTTGGTTTCAAAGGCATAAATTAGCATGATTTCCTGTTTGCCAGAACTGGGGTTTAATGTCTATGCATTGGAAGATTGACAGCAGACAGCTTAATTAGATTGGAAGATGGAAGGTTGTGTTTTTCTGATGCTTCCGATTTTTCTGGAAGAATGCTTTAATGATGATGAAATTTTGATAAGTTTTTCTTCCTCGTGCTTTTTTCTCTTTTGTCTCACTTCATGCATTACCCAGGATCTCTGCCATATGCATCAGCATTTAATTAATCAACTGGCAAAACCTATTGGCAGACTGGGATTTGCAGAATGTGAATTTTGAGAGCCTTGAATTGACAATTTTTTATTTTTAAAGTATATGGTTAAGCTGCAGGACATCCAACTGGTTGTATTGGATGCATATTTGAGACGGACTAACTGTATATCCATTGCCTACATGAAAGCTGCTAAATCAGGCTCAAGATTTTAGTTACCTCTTGGAAAACTTTTCTTACAAGCTTTTATCTTATGTTATTTCTGAAATCATGTAAATGGTGTAATTAGTTATTGGTCTCGAGAAAATAGCCCTGCATTTGAATTTCACTAGCCTTATGAATTCTAAAAATCGTCAAGGCTCCGATCACCACGGGGAATGTCTTCTTTTATACACCTGGGGCTTGCAGTTTGGATATGCTAATTGAGCCTTGAGAGAAGGAAATTTCCTTCAGTTAAGGTGTATTAAATTTTACTGTTAAATAGAGATTTTTGTGCTGCATAATTGGGATTTTGTGCTCTTGCACTATAATATAATTACCTGTTGAGGAATAACATTGGCATGTGCAAACCATCTTTCTGTAGATTCTTTGTTGCATCTAATGGAGGGCGTACTTCCATTTTTTGTGAAATATGTTAAATCCATAAATCTCTTTGTGAACCTTTCTGTCGACCTTGTTGACTTGACTGTATACACGTCTCTTGCTTCTTCTAATGAATGAAGTAAATTTTGGTTTCAGGAATTTGTTCTTAAGAGATAATTATCTTGTCTTACATTAAAAAGTCATAAAACTTTCTTTTCAGTTCTATTTTAATTTTTTTGGCTTACATTATGAAATTTTCTTGTGTAGGCAAGAGAAACGATGAGCAAAGTACCTTGTAGCATCTGGTTCATAGCAAAGATAACTCAGTAGAAATGGGGGGCTGCTGTTGTTGCTGTGCTTCAAAAGCAGAGGAACTAAATAATGCTCCCACTTTCTACCATGTGAGTAATATCTCAAACTTCATAAGCAGCATGAATCTGGTGTCTACTGATAGCATACAAAAAAGTTGATTATTAGGCTATTGTTCAGGTTCTTTTCCTATTTGGGCTGTATTCATTAATTTATGTACTTAGAGCTCTAGGTTCATTATGTATTTGTCAAGAGAAGTTCTGGACCAGTCATACATTGTGTATTCTGGCTAGAACCTCTGCTCGACGCATTTTGATGCCTTGATATCCAATCAAAGCCTGAGTTGACTAGCTTGCAAGTCCATAATTGACCATTGTGATTTTGTACTGCACTACCTGCATAATTTTCTGGAAGCGCTATTGTTATTGACTGCTGAACTTCATGCTCTCTGTTTAAAAGCTAGGAGCACCAAGTGATTTGCTTCTTTTCGTTCCAGTGCCGGTTTTCTAATAATAGACTGGTGGAAGTTTCAGTTTATTAAGACCCACAGAATATTGATCTGAGCACAATCTGGTGGGAAAGGGAGAATGCTGTTGAAAATGGGTAAACTTGTAGTTTAGCCTTCAAAAGATGTTGCAGCATGTAGGATTACTGCAAAATTTGAAGAACCTAATAACTTAGGTCAGGCAGGGAAAAAGAAATGGCCTACTCATCTTTCTTGGCAATTGGACTGTTTAGTGCTCGTGTTCCACTCCTAAGCTGTCACTTGGTAGTTGTTTTCTTACCAATCTTCATTCTCTCTTCAACTGGGTTGAGTGATTTGCAGGATGATCAATGATGAATTTGCTGCCATACATTCTACCTGAATTTTGCTGGTTAATGCTGTTCCTTTTCTCTGGAATTTTTACTCTTTTTTGCAGTATCCAAGGGCTGGACAAGAACATCAGACCCTACCACCTTCAAATGGCACAGTATCTTCACTTTCGACTGGGCTATTAGTTGACACCAACCTAGACACTTCAATACCGGAAACTTATAGAGCACCTCCAGCGCCAGTGCCTTATGAAACATATGTTGGACACTCTCGATCATCTCTTGCTGATCCACCTAGTCATGGTGACAAGAATGAAACAGTGCAACTCGCACAGAAGGCTGTTGAAGAAACAAATTCTGGAATCACTCAAGAAACTACAGTCAAAATTGTGAAGTTGGATGGAAATGCAACTGTTGAGCTTACTGCCACAAAAGATGTGGAAAATGATCTTGAACAATCTGGCGAGCTTAAGAAGCCTGGTGAACTCATAGTAAAATCCCTGCTGGAGGAGGAGGAGGATGTTTGTCCAACCTGTCTTGAAGGTATGGTACATGACATACTTTTGCTTGGTGGCTTTGATATTGGTGCTTGGACTTGGATTTTGACACCATTGCTTTGTTCTTTTTTATGCAGAATATGATTCAGAGAATCCAAAAATTATTACAAAATGCGAGCATCATTTTCACTTGGGATGCATTCTTGAATGGATGGAAAGGAGTGATACTTGTCCTGTCTGTGATCAGGTGACTTGCATTTCAATTTAATCCATGAGGGGTGAAAGGAGATTTTCCTGTTCCGAGTCAAATGATTGTTTTGTTTATGCTGGCATTATGAATTTGTTGCTTATGAATTTGTTGCTTCTTGTCTTTGGGTGCAGGTGATGGTTTTCAGCACTGGTGATGATGCTTAAGCTCTAAGACAGAAGGGTATTAAGTCAGGGATGCGTGAGGGTTGAGCATTTATAGTACACCTCTTTTTCTTTTTTTCTTTTTTTTTTTCTTTTTTGGTGTTGAATGGTAGTCATAGCTTTGCCTAAAATTTCTCTTTGTTTTGTTAATATGTCGCCCGATTCTTTTATTTTGATCGAGGAGAATCAAAGAAGGAAAAAAAAAAAAAAAAGAGAAGTAATGAGCAGGAAGAAAAGCTGAAACAGAAAGTGGATGGTTTTCTATGCTACAGTCGATTCCTTTACATTCTCAGCGTATCCAACATTGTCCAGGAGGTCTCTCAAGTTATTAACCAGGAGTCTGGCACTGGGATAAGGGGGCATGAAATCCTTGTTTTGTCCTGTTAGTTTTCTCAGTCTGCTGCCGTGGTTTCTTCCTCCCATGCCCTCTCTTTTGTTTGCTTATGCGCAGTTTCTCTTCAACCAGCTTGGATTTTAGGGATTTGCATCAAGCTGGATCTGTAAATTTCGTAGGCGGTACTTACGTTGAGGTTTCTGGTTGGTAGTGGGGATCGCATCATTGTAAGGAAAGCAAAAGAATTTTGAAGGACCGGGTGAATATTTTAGATTGATTCATGTGTATATAGAGAAGCATTCATGAGCCATGCACAATCTTAGTATGCTTTTTCTTCACCTGTAGTTTTGTTTGTTGCTTAGATTTAGCAATATGCGGTGAGTTTTAGGATATTTTATATAAGCTCTTTTCCTCTCGTAAAAGCCAGCAATCATGTTCAAGGTAAATGGTAAAACGGAAAGGAAACTAAACTAGAAAATAGAACATGAGATAAATATGTTCAGAATGACGATGGCCAAGTATTTTCTGGGGACGTTTTAGAGGTTTCTAGAGTACAGTACTCAAGTTTGAAATAAAAAAGTTGCTAACCTCTCTTGGTTGCACTCCTTTGGAGACAGAACCTTTGTTGGCTCACTTGTAATTATGTTCCAATATGAATATTAGTACAAGGTTAGCAAGCAAAGAAGTAAAGTGTGAATAATTAGCAACCAAGGAATAAAGCAATAATAATCATCATCTAAAGGACCACGGCAATTTTCAGTAAGAAATTACAATTCTTGTCAAGTTTTGTTGTTTACTTTTGATCAAGAAATCACCAGCACTAGTAGCATGATCAAAGTTGAATATCATCAAATTTCGTAATATGTCAATCATTACATGTATTTATGCTCGCCATGGGCTAACTCTTCAACCTACAACGATGTGAAGCTGTCAAAATTTTCTTGCCTAGTAACTAACAACCTAATTCAGAGGATGTTTAGTGTTATATAAACTAGAGATCTTTGCCATCTAGTTCTCTATATGAACCGGTTGGATTTCCATCATATAAACCTATGATACAATAGGGTTCCCTTATGCCCCTTGGGGTCGGCTTGGCTGGTGCCGGGGTAGCCTCTTTAGGTCCTGACATCATGTGATCAGTGTGACGACCCCACCTCCTTCTAAGGTGTACCCAAAGGTTTGGCGGACTGTCTGTCTAACTTTCGTTAAGATTCACTCACTCACTCAATCAACTCTCAAGATTAATCATTCAAGCCTCCAAAATAACATTTAAGTTCTACCATTCAACCAAAATACAAACTTATTTACAACCAAAAAATCAAATGTATGATACAACGTCAAATGTCAAAATATATCCTATCAACCAAAAGTATAAGTATAAGAGGGTTATACACTCTAATTCACATTCAATTGTTTCGAACCTCCATTCCTGTAAGAAAAACAAAAACTAAAAGAATGAGCTAAAAACCCAGTGAAGTTTCTAAACAAGCAATCAGGTAGGAAAATCATGAAAACATTACATTTAACAATTTGCATACTTTGCACAGTAATATCCAGTCATTTAAGAAATAAACACTCAATCATTGGAAGGATACATGCTCACTTGGAGCCATTCATTCATTCATTCGCCAACCATTTTTCTTATCCCTCCGACATTAGAAAACGTTTGCAAGTGAAAACTACTTTAGTGATCTTGTCATTCATTCATTAATATCATTGCATTGAATTCACTGGTCAATTCTCTATCAGATTTCGTGGTAATACTCGAGTATACCAAACATTGTCCCAGGGCCACCAGCCGCCCGATCGAGTTCGCTTCTGGCTTAAGTCGACTGGCAACGAAGGGTAAGGGCCCATTTCAGTCAAAAGTCTTATATTCTTGCACAAGTAACATTCAATCATTTAATCATTGAAAATTTTACATTCACTTAGATCGAGTGCGATAAAGTACACACTCGCCTATCGAAAATTCATTTAACAATCATTGAAAAATATTTAACATTTAAGCAAACATTCACAACATTTCATATTGTCGTTGGAAGCACAACAAGCAAAGAACACTCACCAGTTTAAGTAAAATAAAGTCAAAAGTTTCTTTCCGGATTATGCCCTTGATCACCGACAAATCCTAAGAATAATCAAGAGAAAATATTATGGTTGAACCATTTTTATTCAAAATTTAGGTGAACCAAAAAAATTCGAGTAACTACTAGTACAAAGGTGCAAATATGATTTTGGAGTGAAAAGAGAACATTTAGATCCAAGGGACATGAGTAATCAAGAATTTCCTCATTCCAATCATAAACCAAGGTCAAAATGGTTTAACAACTCCAACTTAAAATTGAAAATAAAAGTAAGGACAGTTTTAGAAAAGCAGAATTTTTTCAGTTTTGCGCGATACTATTTGAAAAATCATATTTCAAGTTCTTTAAGTCCAAAATTTATAAACTTTATACCGTTGGAAAATAGATTCAAAGAATTATATTTCTCAGAAGACACCTTTGCAAGATTCTATTCACAAGTCAGTCAAAATCCAATCTCAAGTGGCTGCTTTATCCAGTAGAAAGACAGAACAGGAATGAAAATTCAGTCAATTTTGAAAAATCACAGATATTCATAAGAATTGAGAAAAATTCTGAAATTTTCACGGTAGAAAGTACTCTAAATCTAGTTTCAAATGCAACAAGCAGAACTCAATTTAAATTTTTTTACACCAAGATATGACAGATTTTCCAAGACTGTTCAGAGTCTCCTGTGGAAAAAATTTCAGCAACACTTCCTTTGTATTTACCAATTTTTTTTTCCAACTATTTCAAGGCTACACTTTCACCACAAGATAGCCTCAATCAAGTTTACAAAATATAGGATACATAGAGTACTTATTTTAATCACAAAACTAGATATAACCAACATATGCCTAAGTTGAAAATTAATCAAACCCTAGCAACAACTTCACCAAACCCTAGCAAAATCATGAAATTAGCATAAACATGCTTCTTTCAACTTCAATCATAACATATCTTGCATAAATCTCAAGAAACAAGTAAAAAGAGATATTTTCTAAAAATTTTACCTCAAAACCCCAAGATAACAAGCAACTCAAGAACTTTATTCCTCAAGTAACTCCATCAAAAGTTTCGTTCCAAACTTAACTCAAAATTAATCGGTATGGATTAAGGTTGGTCTTTGAATTCTTCATAAATCAAGCAAGGAAATTAAAATGAAAATTTAAAAGTTTTTCTCTCTTCCCTCTGTCTCAATTTCGGCCTTCACAAGAGAAAATGAAAGGCTTGTGCTGTGAAATTGCAAGATAAAGACTAAAGGAAAGTCTTGGTCATAGTTGGCTTGATGGTTGACAAGTGTCATCCAATTATTTTGTCTTTCTTTTCCTTTTCCTTTTCCTTAGTCAATAATGGTGGCTGATTTAAGGGTTAATTTTGGAAAAATTAAATGAAATAAAAACAAGGAGATTAGGGTAAGAAAGTATTGGTCAAGCGATTTACTCAACCGGTAACAAACGGCGCACGTTGATTCAAGTCTATTTCCCTTAATTCCCTTGTACTTTTGTTTTAACTTATGATTCACTAACTTATTATTAGCACTTTTAATCACACACTTTCTCTTACCCAATACTTACTCTTATCTACCAAATTTAGTATACATATCTCACCAATCGATCACAATACCAAAATGTACCAAAACCCTAACTTACTTTAACTTTAAAAGTAAAAGTAAAACTCTTGACTCAACTAATGAAATCACCATGAAATTTAGGGTTAATAAATAGTTAAATAGTCAAAGTAAAGAAATATAAAAGGAAATATAAATTAATTTTTCAAAAATGAGAGAAAATTAAAAGGAATTTTCGGATCCTCACAGTCAGGGTTCGATTCCTTCTATCATCTTGTGTATCTTAGGGTGCGGGTGCACAAGCAAAGAAACATTAGTCCGAAAGGAATATTCTCTGTGTTGACAAAAAAAAAAAAAAACCTGGGTTTCCTTATAACCCTATAATTCTTTGTATAAACTGATGGACTTTCCCCTCATATAAACTGAATTAAAGCCATTGCTGTTTCAAAAAAAAGAAAAAGAAAAAGGAAACCATTAACTTAATCGTTGCTGTCCAAAAAAATAGGTCCCAAAACCAAACTTCAAAAAAATATCTCATCTTCTTTTGCCCACTGCAAAATATTTTTTGGGGGCCATGTCAAAAACATTTCTGAGCTGTCAAAAACAACCTTCTTTCCTATTCATCAGAAGAATTAAGAAAGGCCTCTATAAACCTTCATTTCTTAACTCGACCAGCGTTCTAATTTTCATTAGATTAATTTAATTTCTCGTTCCTGTCGCCATTCCCATTCATTTTCTCACTTCTTGTCTTCTCCATTTCTAGTCAAGGAAAACTTGAGGTGGGCTTCTCTCAATAACGCTTACAAGGTAAAAACTCAACTCAGAAAAAAACAGAGCTTTTTTTTTTTTGGGTACATCAAAGTTATCACCTTTAATTTGGTTTTTCTGTTTATATATATGTATATTTTTTCTTGATATGGTATAGATTCTGGAGATAAAACAAAAGAAAACCCAGAAACAAACATTGGAAAACTAAGCCCAAAAAAAAAAAAAAAAGGATTGAAGTTAATGGAAGGATGGTCAAATTTGAGAGATGAGTCAGGTTTACGTGAAGTGAAAATTATTCAAGATTGTGAAAGGAAAAAAGAGGCTGCTTCTGATCATGATTTTAGTTTAGTGGAATGTGGTTTTGATGAATGCAAGAATAGGCTTAGGGGATTGTTCAATGACGTTCTTGTGAATTTTCTCAGGGAAAGAAGTGTTAATAAATGTATTAGGCCTTTACCTGTGTTGTGCGCCAATGATGAGCTTGTTGATTTGTTTAAGCTTTTTTGGGTTGTCAGAAAATTAGGTGGATATGATTCCACTTCGAGGAAAAATTTGTGGGGTTTTGTAGCCGAGGAATGTGGGCTTGGTTTTGGGGCGGTTGCATCCGTAAAATTGATTTATGTTAAGTATTTGAATGAGCTTGATCACTGGTTGTGGCAGGGATATTCAGATAGTATTGAGGATAGATTTGCTAAAAATTTGGACGAGTTGGTAGACGAGTTGAGGAAAGGTAGTGCAGATTTGATGGAGGTACAGCGAAAAGTTGAAAAGGAAGATGTAAAGCGTGTTAAATCTAAGTTTGATAAGTCTCGAAATGCAACTGATCGTAGTAAGAGATCAGTACACTATTCATCCGGTGCAAACATTAATGAAGTGCATGATTCCAGTGAAGGATGTGTTGACGGCGGTGAAAAATTTTACCTTGACAGTGACAATGATTTGGTATCATCAGCCAAGCAAGTTATTCAAAAAGTTATAAAAGAAGTAAATGGATTTTCAAAAGAAAAAACTTGTGATGACGACAATAAAACCTGTTCCCAAAATGAGAATGATGTCAGTCTGTCAGGTGAGAAGGTCATTGAGAAAGCCATCATTAATTTACATGACACTAAAGTGGACACTCCTGAGCAGGGTTTTGATGTGCAACGTAGTGGTAATGTCATGTTATCAACCAGAAATGCTGTTGACAAAGTTGTAGATTCTCGGAAGAGGAAGCGAGAATCTTCATCATTGTCAGCAATGCTTAGCTGGGTGAAAAATACAGCTAAACATCCCGATGATCTTAGTATTGGGAGATTGCCTGAGTGCTCCAAGTGGAAACGCCATGGAAACCGGGAGCCATGGTTTCTGGCTCTGTTGGCTCGTGAAGCACGACTAATAAAAAGGGATGCCAATTTAAAAGTAGAATCATCTTTCCAGCAGGTACGAAACCCGTGTAATTGTATTTGTCACTTATTTTATCTGAATTAATCGCTTGGTTCAGACACTTGTTACATGTCACTTGGCCCCCAGGCTTTTGTCTTATTTACAGCCTATTTGATTGCTAATTTCATGTACAAAGCATAACCGATACATTATATGTGAGCTGTTTTAACAGTTCTTTGGTTTACACAATCAAATCGGATGCTGGGTTTTGTTCTTCACTGTCATTAGAGGCTTGAACCAGAGTAATTGCTTTTGATAACTTTCAGATTTAGTCTAATTTACATGCCTAGTAAATTATGTAATCGAAAATTGGCAGTAATGTGGTTGATGCAAAATTTTCTCCCTACTGCATGCATTGTAAAGTTGCCATATGCTCTGATTTACGTTTTTGATATTTACTTGTGCAATCTGAACCATTATTGGCTATTGATGCACTATGGATCCCGGTAAAATGATGTTAATGCTGTGTAATCCTTTTATGTATTTTTGATATAATGTAATAGAATGTAATGCAGAAACACTTGCACTATAAGAGTCAATTTTACACTTCATTCCTACTGTTTGTGAAAATTTTGAAACTGGACTATTTATAATATAAGGTTAACTTCAAGAAGCACGGAGAAACAGTGAATGCTCATTTTACTCGACATGGTTTGGACCTCCTAAAAAAGGATGTGTGCTAGAAATCTTTCAATGTCAGTCTATACATGGAATTCATGTGTACATAATTAATTCATTTGTATAATCCTTTGAGTTTTGATATAATTTACCATGACACTTAGAAGGGAGCTAGACTTTTTGTTTTATTGGCCTAGCATGTATACTGCTTGTTTTGATACCATGTGGATTATATCACAATGCTCAGCAAAGTTAATTGTGCTGGTTGGGGTTGTTTTGGGGGTAAAATATTGAATTTGCTGCTTAACTGATAGCTTGTTTCTGTTGGATGATTGGATCCTACCTCTGACTATTGAACATGCAAGAAAGAAGTTGGAACCTAAAGTTGATAGTTACTCTTATCATCTGGCTCCAAATATAAGCATAAAAGTTTTTGGTGCCTTTTAGTTCTTTCTAATTCTATGTTTATGAATTCTGTTTACAAATTTCTGAATTAGCTGTCCTATTGAGTCCAGACTTTTTGTGGCTTAATAAGTGAATTTTGGATCGGTTGTGTGGCTTTTCAAGGAAGTTGTTTGTGAATGCATGAAATAGCATAGGATATAAGTTAGAAGGAACTGAATTAGAACAAATTGGAAACTAAGGTTTCAATAGTAATATATCTAGAGAAAATAAAGTCATGTATGACGTTTGAATACATGTCCTTCTCCAGAATGTCTGGTCATGAAATCTGCGAGATCAATTAAACTTTGTCTTTCCGTTGTTGCCTGCACTAAACTGAGTGAATGGCTAGCATCAAGTAGTTGAAAGTGCTTTTCTTGGTTAAATGAACAATGATCAGTGTTTGGATACGTTTTGCAAGTTTTGTCCATGTACAGTTTGAACTCTGTAACACTTGTACTGTGATTTGTGCTTGGTCATTGTTTATCATTCAAATTCAAAAACATATGGCAGTATTTTTATTGGATGATTTGCGGAATGAATTGACAGAAAAAGTTGAGGATGCATCCTTCAATGTATGAAGAAGATGTCCTTAATCATCAATCTGTCGAGAAATCAAGATGCAGTCAAAGGCTTCCTGTAGCCAAGTGTCAGTCGTGTTCCTGTTGCAATTTACCCCCTCACTGTAAAGTTGCTGTGCCTCAAAAGGCAGAACAGGGATGTAGTGCCAAGGAATCACTTCTTCTGAATGTTGAAGATTCAGACAGAAATAAAATAGATCATATCTCCATGGATGACCCACCTGAAAGAGAAGTCTGTGTGGGTCCTGAGTTTCAAGCTGAAGTCCCTGAGTGGACTGGTGTGATTGTTGAAAGTGATCCCAAGTGGGTAGGCAAACAGATGTGGCCTCCTGAAGATGTTAAAGATGAACCTGTTTTTGGATTGGATCGTATTGGTAAGGGAAGACCAAATGCATGTGATTGTCCATTTCCAGGTAATGTTGAGTGCATTAGGTTCCACATAGCAGAAAAGAGGCTGAAACTGAAGCGCGAACTTGGGTTGTTGTTCTATAAATGGAGATTTGATCACATGGGTGAGGAGGTTTCACTTTCTTGGACAGCAGAACATGAAAAGAAATTCAAGGACATGATAAGGTTGAATAGTGCATCCACAAACAAGTTTTGGAGCAATGCTTTCAGAATTTTTCCTTCAACGACAAGGGATAAGTTGGTTAGCTATTACTTCAATGTTTTCCTTGTCAGGCGCAGGAGTTACCAAAATCGGGTGACTCCAAAGGATGTCGACAGTGATGATGACGAAAGAGAATGTGGGTTGATAGGAGATAGTTTTGGTTATAAAGCGATTTATGTTCCAGAGTCCAGACTACCA